AAACTTTATTTTTGATTAGTAATATGCATTGCTAAGAACTTCATTTGAACAACTTTAAAGATGATTTTCTCAATATTTAGATTTTTTTGCACCCTCAGATTCCAGATTTTCAAATAGTTGTATCTCGGCCAAATATTGTCCTATCCTAACAAACCATACATCAATGGAAAGCTTATTTATTCAGCTTTCAGATGATGCATAAATCTCAATTTCACAAAATTGGCCCTTATGACTGGTTTTGTGGTCAATATGGATTAGCTCTTGTTGAACAAATGAACTGCATTTCCAGGTAATCCGTGAGAACTTTTAGGAGATAAAATGCACCAGGCATTAAATGACCGATTCATCTCCACTGTTGTAAACAGTGTGGCGTCGCTCCCCAAAGTCTCGCGAGACTTCTGTCGTCCAATAACGTGACGCGGTTTCCGCTGCGCTCTTATTTCACGCTCAGATCGAGAGAGACGCGCAGCTCGAGTTCCGATTATCGTCGACGCGAAGTCTTCCTCAGACACACAGAAGAACATTAAAACACAAACGCTTCATCCTAAAGCGACGTTTGCGCTTCGGGGACACCCGTTTTTCTTTCCTTTGTTTAGTTACACGTCTCACCGACCGGCGTCAACAGGAACCGCGGGACGCGAGCAAGAGCGACATACCGGCGAACAAAGAAACCCGTTTGTGTTCGACATCAACCCTCAACACCCGTTAGTTATGAGTCATGTGGCCGTCGAGAATGTGCACGGTCTAGACCAGCAGGTAAGCCGGGGTCGACAGCGGGGTTTTGGGGCTGTTCTGGCGCGGGGCGAGCGGTGAAGCGGCGGTGCGTGTTTAAGATGGAGGCTGCGAGGAGCGGATGATGGCGGAGCTGCGGCGCGTCACACGCGGCTCCTTCATAAACCGGCTCTGGGAGTTTAGGAAGGTTTTCATGTAACTTACAGAGTTAAGTGTCGTTTATAAGCGGCTGTGTGATCTCGTTCAGACGCGCTACGCAAATAAATACATCGCGATCGAGCTGGAAAACTTTCCGCTGGTGGGTTTGTGGCCTGTTATCGAGCTGCTTCTGGCCCTTTGTCTGACCAGCTCTTCATTTCGCTGCATTTGTGTATTTGCGGTCATTTCATCTCTTAATAGAACCTGGTTTTGTTTCTGTACTTCAGATGAACCCAAACGGACTCGAATATCTCGATGTAAACACAACGAATCTTCCGAGAGCGCTTTAAATACCGTTTCATAAGTCAACAAAATGTGACCCTGGAGCACAAAACCAGTCATAAGGGTCAATTTTGTGAAATTGAGATGTATACATCATCTGAAAGCTGAATAAATAGCTTTCCATTGATGTAAGGTTTGTTAGGATAGGACAATATTTGAAAATCTGGAATCTGAGGGTGCAAAAAAAACCTAAATATAGAGAAAATCATCTTTAAAGTTGTTCAAATGAAGTTCTTAGCAATGCATATTACTAATCAAAAATTAAGTTTTGATATATTTACGGTAGGAAATTTACAAAATATCTTCATGGAACATGATCTTTACTTAATATCCTAATGATTTTTGGCTTAATAGAAAAATGTATAATTGTGACCCATACAATGTATTGTTGGCTATTGCTACAAATTTTTTGTATGCTATGTTTTGTGCTCCAGGGTCACATATATAAGCAAAGTTTCATGAAAAGAACTTTGTTACACTACATTTTTTTATCTTAAATAAAATCATTAATGAAATAAAATATGTACAGTATTTCAAATTCATTTAAAAATGTATTTATAAAAATGTATAAACAAATTTATTTATGAATTTGTTTAATGTATGAATTATATTACAAATATTAATTTAAAATATACACATATAATTTTTCAAACGCATAATACATATTTATTAATACATTTCTTAAAAATTTATATTTTATAAATAAATGTATATATATATATATATATATATATATATATATAGTTTTGACTTGGTATTTTCATGTCAAAGTTACAAAAAAAGAAAAGAAATAAAAAAAAAAACACTTGCACTACAGTGTTTGTTATTATTTGTATACATTATATTGTACATCAGTGTGTTGTATATCTAATACATACTCTATTGTTCAAAATGTGGTATTTCAGATTTTTTTAATGGTTTTAAAAGAAGTCTCTTATGCTCACCAACACTGCATTTATTTAATCAAAAATACAATAAGTAATATTGTGAAATACTATTACAATTTAAAGTAGCTCTCTATTTTAATATATTTTAAAATCTAATTCATTCCTGTGATGGCAAAGCTGCATTTTTAGCATCATTACTCCAGTCTTCAGTGTCACATGATC